ATTTTGTAAATCATCATGTTTATCTTTTATAATCTTTTTTTTTGGTTAATTAGTTGAATATTTCGATTTTCGACAACCAATAGTGTTATATAATATTTAGTTTTTTGGCCATTAGACCTCGTTACCTATTTTATTATTCTTGTTTAGTTTCGAATTAGTGATTTTTTTTTTGGGGGAACTCATTCGTTGCCACTATTGCTCCAACCCAATCGTGATTTGATAAGATGATAGAGTACAAGCAAAACGAGTGTTTCTAATTTTCTGTTATGAATTAATACAAAATTGATTGTTGAAGGGTAACGAAAAAAACATAGTGAATCAAAGAAGATTTATTTACTTATAATTTGTATTGGACCTAAGAGAATAAGAGATTGTCAATAAAGATTTTCCAAAGTTGTAATTAGTTTATGACTATGTTGCAAATGTTTTTAATGCTAGTAAGAAAACAGGAAGTAGATGGGCAAGTTTGAAGAAAAATGGAAGCATATAGAAAAAAATTTAGTAATGTTGAGAGTGGGATTTGAACCCACGCCCTTTCGGACCAGAACCTTAATCTGGCGCCTTAGACCAACTCGGCCATCTCAACTTTTGTTCGTAAAAAGAGACTTTGAAATAATAATCATAAATTATTATTCTTAAGGAAAAATGGCTTGGTCACAGAGTTCGAGATTTCATTTCTTTGACGTGTTTGGTTGACAATTCGGATGGAATCCACTTCTGTTGGATTTCTTGAAATTCCCTGTTTGATACTCACAACTAGGAACTGGAATTGTGGATGCCGGTGGAATTGGAATTCAATATTCCAATGTGGTTGAAAACTTGGACGGAATTCAACTTTGTCAAATAAACTCCTTTGAATTTATTATTTGATGGACTTCAATCATTTATAGGGGCAGGTGGAAGGAATGCCAGGCTCATTCTTGCCTTTGTGTTAAATGACCAGAATACCCTCGATATATATTGAGATAGGTTAAAGAGTTGTGTGTGCATGCCGTTTTGATCATGGTTGAAATTTGGACCTAATCATTCCATTAAAGAAACAAAACACCAGAAAGCTTACGATTCAACTTTTATGATGAAAAACAATCAAATTTAGTTTTGCTACAAGGTTCGTCTCTGGCATCCACGGCATTAAAAAAAAGGTTTTTAAGTAAAATGATCAATTAGTTTGAAGTAAAATGACTTTTTTGCCCTTATCTTCATCTTCTCGATCTCCTTCATCTTAAATCATAAAAACCAAACCAATTTCAATAAACACCCAAAAACTAAAACAAAATCAAGATCCAAAAAATAAAAATAAAACTTCTATAACCTAATAATTTTTTTAGTTGGCTGTTCATGTTTTTTTTTTTTTTTTTTTTTTTATTACTTTTAGTTTAATTACTGGGTTTTGGTTTGATAAGAGTTTAGGATGAAAATTTGAGAAATTTTAGGTTTAGAGGATGAAGGAGAAAAAGACAGGGACAAAATAGTCATTTCACTTGGGACTTCATGGACATTTTGCAACACATCTGGTGTAGCAGGGACATTACTTTTCGTACATAACAACATACTTATTCTTCTACCCATATTTTCATTTCCCTAATAATATGGGCAATGTACTTTATTTGTTACAATATTGGCATGTTGCTATTTATTGGTAAAGGAATTGCAAGTACGATGCATTTATCTATAAAAGAAATGTAAGTATCTTGATATTATGGCTTTCCCCATACCAATAACAATTTATCAAACTACCAAAAATATATGAAAAATAATAAGTTTGTCGTGATGGTGTGTAACAATTATATGACAGCAAAGCCTAATTATTTTTGGTAGCCATTTGAAGCCCAATTATGTCTCCTTTCATTTTGACTTTGACTTTGACAATGACCCAAAACAAGGTTGTTTCCCAGGAAAAACAATAACTTTTAAATGTGGAAATGAAAGAGATGATTTTTTTTGAGTTTTTATTTAATTTGCTTGAACATAGAAATGAAAAAGAAGAAGAAGGGGGCAAAACGGTCATGTACGAATACTTAACATCTGTGTTGTTAAAGTTATTATGCTCCAGACAGATAATTTTTTAAGAGAAGTGGTGAATTTTGTTGAGGGTAAAATATGATCCTTCAACATGGAAATGGAAGAGATGAAAAAGACATTGGCAAAATGGTCCTTTTCATAAATTTAGAATATAGGCTGTTTGAAGTCGAGACCTTATAGACCAAATGCATTATCACACCAAGAAATAAGTACCATATTTTAGTTTTGCTCCTTCAACATATATGATAATTGTTTATAAGGAAAGAGAGAATTTTGTTGAAATTTCATCCTGCTCCTTTAAAATGGAAATGAAAGATATGATGATGAAAGGGACAAAATGGTCATTTTTCATAAATTTAACATCTAGGTGACAACCCTAGTACCAAAAGTGTTATGAAACCTTGAGATAAGGACCAAAATTGCAAAAAAGATTCCCTTTTGGACCTAAACCACCAACCTGACAATAAGAACATGCTGTTGAACTGATGATCAAGAAACGGACTACTATCTGTTAGTACTTATAATCTCCATTTTTGAATCCATATTCCATAAATTTCAGTGATTAAAAAGAACAACATGCAAATTTTAACAACCAGACAACAATTACATATGTACATAGTGGGAAGGGGGGTTTCAGGGAACCTCCACTAAGAGCAAGAGAAAGACCACTGATATAGACAAGAAAGCATCACTTAATTATGAATTTGACATTAATAACTTTTAAATTAAGTGAACTTTTCAACATAAAAAAAATAGATTGAACTCTTTGCTAAAAGACACAAATCCAGAAAATATAAGACGTCATTTTTAGAGTAAAATGTCCTAATAAAAAAAAAAAAAAAAGGAAGTTTGATGCTATAAATAAGCGGGTAGAAGGCAGTAATCACCCAGCACCCTTGTTTGAGATTCAATGCAATAGCCACACACCTAGCTGAGCATCAATAAGCCTTACTGATTATAAAATACAAAAGAAAATACAATCTAAAGTTTTGTCCCCCCTTAAGTCTAAAACAAACAACAATTTTGTCAAGATGTGATTAAGTACACTAAAATCCAACTGAGCCACCATAATATCATCTGGTTGGATTTTTCATATGTGTACCAATGTAAGATAAGATATATAACTAAAATAAACATGGGCATTATTAAAAAGAAAATTTAAAGTGTAATTCTACAACTGGTAACCAATATAAAACATGTTTAGATTTTCAATAAACAATGTCTTAATAGGAAGAAAAAAAAAAGGTAGAAGAAAATATCTTACTATGTTATAGTTGTCTAGATTTCCAAAGTACATTTTCTATGTAGGATAATGTCTAATAATATTAGATTTTCAAAGTAAAAAGTCTTAATAAGAAAAAGTTCAAAGGTAAAACTTTTGCAAAGTTCGTTGTCTCGATAAGCAAAATAAATACAAAATACAAGGTTTTAACTAGGTTAGATTTTGAATATAAAATGCTATATATGGTTAACCAAAATTAAACAAGTTTAGATTTTCAAAATACAAAGTCTTAATAATAATAAAAAAAAATTAAAGTTACAATGCCATAGAAGGTTATATACCTTAACTTGATTGAAAAAATAATAAATTACAATGTCTTAATAGGTTTGATTAAGAAAGTATAATGTTTCAATAGAAGGTTAATATACCTTAGCATCTAAATAGTTAATAGCACTCAGTTGCAACACACAGACCGACTTATAATTTTTTATTGTTACCGTATTAGACATTTTGCTACCGTATATTAATATTAAGTAATCAACAAAGTAGAGTTTGGTTTCTTACCTGCTATTGGTTTTTGATGTTTTAACATATTGTTGAATCGTATGAATAAGATCCCAATAAACATGTCATTAACAGATCTAGTTAAAATTGGTAAATTTCATCAAAATATAAAACCCTCTTTTTGCGAGTGTTCCACTCCCCTATAGAATATTCTCTGTTTTAAAGCATCTGGATCCATGACTCAGCCTTGACAATCCAAAAGGCTTGACCACTGTATAACATTATTTAATTTATTTTTCCATTAATTTTATTTATGAGCATACAAAAGGGCAACTTGCTTGGAAAAGCAACATACTATACATTTTTTTTCCAATATAGGCAATGTTCATTAGTTTTTACACATAGCAACATGCTTTTTTACCCATAATAGCAACGTACTTACATTTTTTTTATCCATAATAGCAGCATACTTGTACTTTTTATCAGTAATAGGAATGTTGTTTTATTTTTTTTACCCATAACAGCAACATACTTAAACTTCCTTTCTGATAAAAGCAATATACTTGGTTTTGTATCCATAATAGCAGCATTTATTACATATTGGCATATTGCTATTATTGGTAAAGAGATCTAACTATGTATTGTTTCCATAATGAGTAATGCTTTAGTTTTATCTATAAAATAATGTAAGTATGTTGCTATTATTGGTTACAAATTAAAATATAAAGTAAATAATGTTGCTATAAAAAAACTAAAAACAAAAGTGTGTTACTCTTCAACCCCCAAAAGATGCAGTTGTAGCTTCCCCCAGATCAGTGATAATTTATCACACTGCCAAAAATAAATGAAAATTTTGTCATGATAATGTAAAAATTATATAAGAGCAAAGCCTAACTATTTCTCTTCCTTCGATTTTGACCCGCTTTAAAGAACTATGTCAGAAGGCAATCTTTCACGCAGCAGGTAGCAAAACTTATGAAACAATTATCATAAAGTATTCTATTTTTAGAGAATCTTTTCAAAAAGTATTATTTTTTTAGAGATTCTTCTCTGGGATTAGGGTATACTTATGCTCCTTAAATGTATGGCAGATAATTTTTTATGACAAGTGTGATTTTGTTGAGGGTATATTATGACAAAAACAAGTATATCTTACTACTATAATACAGAATCCAATCAAACATACATTACAAAAAACCAAAATACTACTTTAAAGGAATAGGGCATTTCCATAAATAGTGAAGAGCCTTACTTGATCAACTTCAAACCTCTCTGTGGCATATTGAGTTGGATGAATTGTCACATTATCCTTGAGGTAAACCTTCTTGATGAGCCATAAAACAAATCAATAATAGGTAGAACATACAGATACAAGATATGTGCTTCTATATAAAGTCAATGTAAAGCAACATGAAATGATGACCAAGTGACAAATTACTATCTGTTAGTACTTATAATCTCTGTTTTTGTTTCAATAAATTTCAATTAGTGAAAAGAATAGCATACGAATGTTGATTACAGAACCACAATTACATAAATATATATATCTTAATAGGTTGGATTTTGAAAGTATAATATTATAAGTTGTTAGATTTTCAAAAAAAAAAATCTTAACGAAAGAAATTTGAATTACATTGTCCTAATAGAAAAAAAAAATTAAAACAATGTCTCAGTAAGTTCGATTTTAAAAATGGAAATTAATTAAAAGTATAACGTTATAACTTGAAGTATAATGCTTAATTAGTTATACTTTTTAGAGTATAATGTCCTAATAAGCAAAATAACGGAAAGTTCAATGCTATAAATAGGTAGACTTTTCAAAGTATGTCACAGTAAAAAAGAAAAAAGAAAAAAAGATGAAAGTGCAAGGCTATAATTGGGTAGGCATCTGAAAGTATAATGTTCTAATAAGAAAATAGCTAAAAGTACCATGCTATAATTGGGTAAAAATTTCGAAATACAAAATCTTAATTACAAAAAGTCAAAGTCCATTACTGTAATAGAAAGAAAAGTAAATTACACGAATAGTCCCTATGGTTTTGGGTAATTTTCACACTTGGTCCCTAACTTGTTTTTTTAACTCGGAAGGTCCCTACTGTTAGTTTTTGTTACATACTTGGTCCCTACAGTTTGTTTCTGTTACACGCTTGGTCCCTATCTTACCTAAAAAGATTATTATTTAAATAGGGGAAAATGGTGAGGTAGGTAAGATAAGATGAGGGGGTGGGGGTGGGGTTTGTTTATTTAAAGAAATTAGAAAATCAAGGGCAAAATAGTCTTTTTAGGTAAGAAAGGGACCAAGCGTGTAGCAAAAACAAACAGTAGGGACCTTCTAAGTTAAAAAATGAAGTTAGGGACCAAACATGCAAATTACCCTAAACCATAGGGACCATTCGTGTAATTTACTCTAGAAAGAAATGTAACTAGGATGCTAAAAAAAACAAATAAATGAAATTTTGTATATTAGACAAATCTTCTTTGAAGTCCTAAGAAATAACCTACACTTAAAGATAATATGAGACAAATATTCTTCAAAGTTTTGTATATTTGTTACCTTTAAGTAATGCATCATTAAACAGTCTTTTCTCTCAAGACCACCAGATGACTTCACTGCATTCTTACACCTAACTGAGAATCAATAAGCCTTGCTGATTGAAAAATACATAAATTTATTTGTATGTAGCAATATCATCAGGTTTTGGTGGATGAAAAGGGTCCTATAAAGCACCAATTCATATAGAAAATAGATCAGTAATCAGATGGCAGAAAGGTGTTCAAAACAATATTAGAATTTAAAAGTAGAATGTATTATTAAAACTAAAATATCTTAATAGGTTAGACTTTGAAAATACAATGCTACAGCTTGGAGAATAATGCTTGCAATTAATTATTGTTACAGAACCACTGATATTCGATAATGAAAATTGTTACTAATAGTAAAACAATGTTATCTATTTAAAGTATTAAGATATCCATACTTTCTCATACAGATCACCAGAAAGAAAGGGATGAAATCCATACTTTCTTAACATAATTCGCTTGGCTGAAAGGTAGAAATTGAATTTTTATAACAAAATTCTCATATATAATACTTTTGTTCACAAACAAGAATTGAATACTACCTCATCAGATATAAGAAAGTAAACACAAGCATCCTCTTTATATTGACCACTTGATTTTAACATTTCAATCCACCAAAGACCACATCTTGTGACATTTCCTTCCCTAATGTCCCAATTTGCTAAACATAATTCCCATATATAACCCCATCATTTCCTGAAGTTAATATATAAGCACAAGTTTTAGAAACAGAGGGGTATTTCGAGAAATACACAAACAGGGTTATAGACTCATATCTTTTGTAATCAGTAATAAGAAAAAAAAAAGATGAAAAAGTACAATGCTATAATTTGGTAGAATTTTCAAAGTACAATGTCTTAATAAGAAAAAGTTGAAAGTCCATTATTGTAATAGAAGAGATGAAACTAAGATGCTAAAAAGGACAAATAAATAAATGACACATTACATTGTGATTGAATAAACAAAAGGATTTGAAGTTATTTTTGAAAATGACACAGCCTTTAACCCAATCAATATGAGTTCTTGAAGGTTCTAGCATGAAAGAATCTTATCAAGTTGAAAATTTGGAACTATGTTAGTAAAAAATCAAGTTGAGAAGTTGCAAGGACAAATAAATAATTTTAAAATGATAAAAGTTAAACTCTTAGAACATACAGAGGGGTATAGTTTCTATAGGTGATGTCTCTATGCATCAGTAATAACCTGTTTTAACCACTCATTTGTCACCTACTTCAAAAAAAAAAAAAAAAAAAAAAAAACATTTCTCAGAAACATCTAAAACTACATGCATAAACATTTTGATAAATACAACTCCTAATGAAAAAAGAAGAAGAAATTACAAGAAAGCCATGATCAAACCTTTTGATTCAAGCTAAATGCAACACTGGCTACTTTTTTTTCTTTCATCTACACATCACACAATGAGATTTAGAAACAGAGAACATCACACATATACAAAAGCATTTTAACCTAACAAAGACTTTGTGTTCTTTATTCTTGGAATCTCAGAAATAAGAAGACAGGCGATGACATAAACAGGCCCACAAAGAAATCACAACACCTCTTGGAAATATCCTCATTTGATTAATATTCAAGATACACGTCTATTTCTAACCAAATCTCTAATGGCTCAATAATTAAGTTCTTTAATATTTTAATTTGGCTTTTGATTATTTACTTATGTCTACACAATTCAATCCAATAACATTTTCACCCTCAAAACAAAGAAAAACAACTATTTATCTTAATTAAGACATTTCATCAAACACCTAAAGTGTAGACTAGAACGATCTACACCTAAACAATACTTTTTTGGGTTTCAACATTATTAAAATTTTACCGACATCACCACTTGCTTGACCAATCATCTTTACTTAATAGATGCTTTAGATTAGGCGATCTGACTCGGAAAAAAAAAAAAAAAAAAAAAAAGATAAATGGAGGAGAAAGAGAAAGAAACCCAGTGAGGTTGTAGCGTTAATTAAGGCTTCAATTAAGTAAAATCATGTCATTAATTTACCTTTGTTATAGTTCAAGTGGATCCTTGGGTATAGTGTTTGATCCTTTTAGTGACGATGACGCAATTCTTAGAAGGAAAAAAAAAAAAAAAAAAAACAAACAGAAGTCGTTGTTGAAAAGATACACGCTACCTAGAAATTAGAGGAGAAAAATATGCACTTTTTTTCTTGATCGATGATGACGGTGAACCAAACTGACATCGGAACCCGACGTCATACTACAACCTCAAAGCATAAAGGTACAATCCAATATCTCGATGAACCCAGTGATGAAGGGAGGGCTGAAGAACCTTGGCCTAATTGAAAATACTTAACAAGAACAACAACGAAATCAATAATACGCAATAACAAAAGAAATAATGCACAGAAATAAAAAATCAAGAACGTTACCTTAGAGATGAAGAGGGGAACGCAGAGGACTGTTGAACGTCGGAGAATGAAAGAAGGAGGAAACAGTGGTATCGATAGAAGAAAAAGAGAAGAAAGATGGTGCCTCAAAATAAAACCCTCTACTGCTTCTTCTTCTTCTTCTTGAAAGGTGTTTGGAGAGCAGCGGGAAGAATGAAGAAGGTTATATAAAGCGCCAATACACCGACCCAACACTTTTGACTTCTCACTTCCAATCAACGGTTATTTTTTAATCCCTTACCAAAATTAACACCTTCCTTCCTAAATTACGATAAACTTTTGATTTTTACCTTTTTATCACAAGTTTTTATCTTTTAAATCGAAACTGGTCCTTACTAGTCCATACTTTTTTTTTTACAATTTCTTTATAGATATTTTTTTAAACATCGCTTTTTTTTAGATAATTATCTTCTAACAAAATTCTTTTATACAAAATCATTTATAAAATTAGTTTCTTACAAATATTTTTTTAATTCATTTTCTATATTTTACAAAAATCATTTCTTTTACATCTTTTTTTATCAAATCATTTTTACAAAATTAGTATTCTTTAGAGAATTATTTTTTATAAAGATTTTTATCTTCGTTTTTATGCATGCATTCTAAGATTTTCTTATATTTAAGAATTATGTTTTTGTTAGAATTCATTTCCTATTTTTTACACATTCATTTTCATGCATCTATAGTTGTAAAAGCATGTAATGGTTATGTTTTTTCTTTTTCTTACATATTTGTTTTCTTTTAAATCAAAATCGTACCTTAAGGAGTGCACTTTAATGTACAACTGAATGTAATCCTACCGTAAATTACGGTATGCTTATTGTACATATGTAACACCCGTTTTCCAACTTGAATAGTTAAAGAATTAAAGATGTCAAAAATAAGGTTTTGGAGAAAAACCTTATGCCACGACGTGGTAGGTTGCTAAAAATAACGTGGCCATAACACTTTAATAAATAATGCGTCTCGCTGGTTAGCACAACATGGCGAGATGGTGACCATGACATGGTTGTTGTTACAGCCCAAGCCCAAGATCCTAGGGTTTCTCCAGTATTTAAAAGCATTAACTCTTGGATTAGGTCATTCTCTTCGGCCTCCATCCTCTAAATTCGAAACCCTAGCCCTATGCTTGATTATTGAGCTTGTTCCCTAGGTTTTGAGCTTGTCTTCTTGGTTTTTGTAAAGCTCGAGAAAGAAGGGACTTCATCTTGGTGCAAGGAAACAAAGAGATAGCTTAGATCCATCATCTTCTCCAGAACAACAAAATGCAATAGTAATACCATTTAGGACCCACACATTATGGGCCAACTGTTTTTTTATAAGTTTTAGTTTTTGAAATGAAATACACCAGGAGTCAATGAGAGATCCCCACTCTTCCACATCCATTGTTTTGAAGGTGGACTACAAAGAAGCTCTAAATATTCTTTTGGTTTTAGTTTCACTCATGTGATCCCCCCTCCATTGTTTTGAAGGTGGACTACAAAGAAGCTCTAAATATTCTTTTGGTTTTAGTTTCACTCATGTGATCCCCCCATTTGGGGCTAAATGCAAGTCCAGGTCACAAAAAAAAGTACATGAATGAAACACAACTTCATCTTTTCGAACACTAAAAGATCACAACACCTCGTTTGATTAAGTTTCAAGCATTTGACCTCATGCCCCTAATTTTCAAAATTCGATCTCTAAAATTCTACAGTAAGAAAACTACAAACACAAGTCCAAAGATATTTGTAGCAATGACAATCAAAAACCATTTCAAAAATATGCAGATTATACAGTACTTGGATGACAGGCAACACACCAAATTCATCCTAACTTAACTAAACAGAAACACACAACTTTATATGTAATTTTTAGATAGAACCAACATACACTTCTATTTCAAATTGAGTTCATCATCAGATGTATATTTCATCTCAGGAACATCCACAAGCTTTACTTCTGAAACGTGAATATTATACATCAACATCGGTTTAAATGCAAGAAATAACAATCTACTTTCATTTTTTTGTTATAGCATTGTACTTGGAAAACTATACCCAGCTAGAGCAATGTCATCAACATGCAAAGCATTTTTCACTGTTAAGATTGGATAGATTTTTGAAAGTACGATGTCTTAATAAGAAAGATTAAAAGTGCATACAATTTGCAGAATGCAATGCCCTTATGATAAAAAGTAAGAATTACAATGTTGTAACAGGAAAAAAAAATGAAAGTGTTCCATGTGTTGGACAAGATTTCATACCCCATCATCTAGATGAAGATAATAACTTTTGAAATATCACGAGGAAAAAATTGTAATCTACTTTATAAATAATAGTGGCATGTATCCCGACAATAACTAAGATGAAAGTCGTAGAACAATTAAGTAAACAATGTATCATGCAAAGGCGTACATTTAGATTATCATCACCCTCATAGAACAAAAATGACCTGTCAAGTCCTTATGTTAAAAACAAAAATAAATTACTTCAATACAAAAACAACTTTTTAAATAATTTGAAATGTATGGTCATTTGCATACCATATCTTTCTCGGTCAAACCCTTCCTTTCTCTAATTTCATAAACCTAAACTTTGCAACATGAAATTGCAATAAATATAATATGTGGGTGATAGACGTTGGAGGGTGAAATATATTGGGGTTGGAAAACTCTTCTATTAAACACTAAAATAGAATTACAATAGGAGGAGCAACTCTCACACTCAACTATTAAAAAAAATCTCACTCTAAGTGTTATACTGTCTATTTCTCTGTGTTTGACATGCTTCACAAATGCAGATGAAGCCTCTATTTATACCCATGACAACCACCATTTGTGCAACATTCATTAATTGTGTTCATTATAGGGTAGGAAGAAAAACGTGTCATTGTAGGTTTCATTTTGTCAACAAAGATGGCTATTGTAGCTTTGGAGGCTTTGGAGGCTGGAACACAACAAATCTCCCCCTTTAGTCTCCGTCTAACAATTTGTTGGGTTATGAGCAAAACATCAATCATATGGTGCACATGCAAAACCTAAAGATTTGGATCTAGGTTTTTCTAATTGTACATGCAATAATCATCCAAAGCTTACAAACCCTAGATCTAACATATCAAAATTGAAATCAACATAAATAAACTAGTAAGAATGTTACCTTTGATTATAGCTTGATGATCTTGAGCTTATGAGAACGTAGAACCTCAAATGTGATGCCTCTAATGGATCACAAACACCAAAGCAATTGGAGAATCTTAGAGAGAGAGGGGAGAGGTAATTTCCGGCTCTTAAATCCTTCTAGGGTTGTGGTAGCCGTAAAAGTGAAGCCAATGGGTCCTTTATATAGGTGAGCTGCTAAGGTTTCAGTCAAAACCCTAATTAGCCTGATCAGGCCTTAAGCAGTCCACATGATCCTTCCAGAAGGCCTCCTATTGACGATTGCTATGTAGGCTTCCCCATAGAATTCGTCCATCCCTTATTTAGGGTTCCTCGGACCATATTGCAACTATCACATAATTATAATATCATTCCCCTTAATTTAATTAATCTCTTTTGACCATAAAATTATTTCTAAATTAAAAACTGACCAATATTAATTATGTAACATCCTAATTTTTCAGACCAAAAATTTCATTTTTGATATAACGTTTTATAAAACATTTATAAGAAAACATCATCGAGTCTTATCATTTCAAAAACCACAATCACATGTCTCAAACCATATCATAAAAACAGTAATAATGTTAGAGTACTATCCTAAGAATATCATAATGCGTAAATCTTGTGTGTATGACGCGCTGCTATCGTACCAGCTCCTTCCTATTAGATGAAGAGGTACCTGAAAACAAAAATGAAAACTATAAGCACGAAGCTTAGTGTGTTCCCCTATCATACCACATACCATAAACATATAATGCCTATCCCTCGGTATCTTTCAACCGGTATCTGACATGCATAACTGGAAGCTGGGCTTCGCTTCGGTATCTTTCAACCGGTAATCGAGAGCTGATGTAATGTATACGTCCAGTTATTGTGTTTAAAATGAATAAAATTATATGTTTTTTAGTGTTGATTTCTAACAATATAGTTTTTACGAGATTTTAAGTAAAACTACGTTTAGAAACATTCGGAAAGTATTGGAAGTCTTATGAGATTCCAATCATAAGTCAATTATTGAAATCAACAAAAAAATAAATGTAGCACCTGGTTCCTGGTATGTATTTTAATTTAAGTATTTTTGCATTTTTAGTTGGGACTCGGCGAGTTGTAGGGCCGACTCGCCGAGTAGAGACGAGATATTGAGCACGTTTAAGTTAGCAACCCGGCGAGTCCATATCCTGGACTCGGCGAGTCCGCTGGAAGAAACCCTAGATCCACGGGTTTTACACCCTATTTAAACCATGTTATGAGCCCCAAACTCCCCTCCTTCACCCTGATAGCATCATTTAGCAAACCCTAACCATTCCTTGAGCATTTTGAGCATTTCTTGTGTGAATCTTGAAGTTTTGAAGAGAAGAAGGAAGCTAGATCCGAGGGAGTAGAAGGAGATCCAAGATCTTGCACCCACTATAGAGTTTATTGAGGTAATAATATGATTCCTTATGTTTCTATGATTGATTCTCCATTATAAGCACATTTAGGCCATTTTATCCATTTCTTATCTTGTTTATAGTAGAGAGATCACATTGGGTTGATTATCCTTCGGATCTAGCCATGTTTCACTCCCAAAAACGTAGATCTAACACCTTTATGGAGCCATTTTGCATGAAAGCCCTAGATCTACTCTTTTAAGTGTCTTTTGAGCCTTTAAATCCCTTTTCGTGCATATGTACACGTAAAGTTGGAAACATTACGTGGTAAACAAGCCTTAAGAACCCAGATCTATAAATTGTATGCAGTAGTTTTGATTAGAATCAATTATATAGAAGTTGCATGCAACCGACTCGGCGAGTCGTTCTTTAGACTCGGCGAGTCGGGTCGCGAGTCCTAGAGTTTTCCCCCTTCTATGTATTATGCCGAGTGGAACCAGTGAGTTTTAGGTGGACTCAGTGATTCGGATATCAGACTCATTCATGGAGGGACTCGGCGAGTCAATGCCCTAACTCGGCGAGTCCAAGGCAATTTTCATATCTCAAGAACAGACTCGCCGAGTTGTTCGTACACTAAATTTATTTATAATAAAATAATAATTTTTATACGTTTAAGTAATATTTATTTCTTATAATTTAGGTTCTCGTGGGGGAGTTATCTATGGAGTAAAACATACCCTAAATTGTCGGGTATGTTTAAGAAATTTGAGGATTATATGTCCAACCATCCAACAAAAGCGATTGTGTACACACTATCGGGTTTTGTTATTCCGTTGAAGGTATATTTAACTAATTAAAAAAATATATTTAATAATTTATCGGTTTTTATTTTATTTTTAAAATTTTAGTTATTGCTAACTCTTATAAATTAACGTGTATTTATTACAAGATATGGATATGGGAGATGTTTCCAACAATCCGGGGAAATGGTGTGATACGACGAAATTATTTATATATGCGTATATTGCGATGATTTCATATTAGGAGGTTAACTTCCGCAAAAGTCTGTGATCTTTTCAATGTTGATCAGGACGAGGCGCATCAACCAAAAAGAAAGATGATTGCCTCAGATACCGAGGCCTCTACTCCACATTATCTGTCATATATTTATAGTCTGAATTGTGAATCGTCTGAAGTCCCTTATTCTGTACGCTACAACTTTAGAAATGATGTAAGTAACTTTGTAAAAGCATAATTTAGTATAATAAGAATTTTCAAGTGTTATTAATATATGAAAAAATTTATGTAGGGGGCATCTTCGTCAAAAACAAGCTGTGGAAACAGCCAATCTTTCAAGTCTACCGAGCGAACTCATACGGTGGAAATTACCAAAAAGACCGCGCGAGAAATAATGGCAAGACTTGAATCTTTGGAGGAAGAAATTCAAGGAATGAAAAATAAAAGGTGGTACTCGAGACGGTATCTTTAAGGACGCTTTTGAGGTATTATTTCTCGCGCGGTCTTTTTGCATCTTTATTGCATCCCCCTAACAGATTCTCAGATGTCAGAAGTTTACGTGTTAAAAAAATAT